TTCCCAAACTCACCCTGTCTTCTCTGCAGCTTTCAAGAGAGGCCAAGATCACAACATGGGGTGTAGAACCCACAGGCCAAAAGCTGCCTTTGAAATCCACAGGGAACAGAAACTTCTTGCAAAGTGGAGTGAAAACAAAGCAGTATTTGAAAACTCAATAGTCTTTCCTCTCCATATAGTGAATTTACTTTGCAGTTAATTTCCTCTCTAAAGCAGCCCCTTCCACCTCACTAATATTAAGTGTAAGTGGAGTATGAGTGACTTGTTTTTGCAGAGCTTTTCGAAGAGGGAAGGGTGGCATTGCCAGAATTTCAGTGTTTGTTTGAGGTGACACATGATTTCGTCACTGATGGAAATAACTACCTGTCATTAAAAATAGCAAGTCTCCATTTCAAGCACGGCACAAACACATTCACCTCCCCAAAATACAGAGTCTAAAGTACAAGTATGTGCAGGTGCTGCGCAAACACCTTGTGACCACACTGGGCTGAAAGAATCTCAGCAGCTGAGCTGTCCTGAGCTTTGGTATGAAAACACAGCCCTAAACCTAATGTAGGTCTTAGTCTAAGTCAGGCTCTAAAGCCATCACCTGATACTAATACCAGTAGGTACTGAAGAGAATAAAATGAATTTCATATTTTGGAGCATGGTGGTCATTAGAGGAACATCAGGGCCCTACCTGTGAAACACCACAGGCTTTTCATCTTCAGGGCAGTGAACAAGCCCACGAGAGTCTCGGCAGCACCAAAACAGGCTGTGGGCTCAGCACTGGGCTACCTGCAGTGGCATTTCAGGCCACCTACAATTGCTTCCAAATTGAGGCTATTCTGCAACAAGCTCCTTTCATCTCTGTTGTAGCAGGAGTTGCACTTTATAAATTGAGAAAACAGGAGAACAAACACAAGAAGTAAATTACCTTGCTGTTAAAAATGGCAGTAATTTATCTCATGATGATACAGCACAGCTTCTCTGCTCTGAACCCTGTGTTTGTGAGCACTGTTAGTCCATACTCTCACAGTGCAGGTGTGATTGGTGCAAATATTTATTAATGAGATATTCTGTGTTAATCTTTTCAGTGCAAATTCAGAAAATGCAATTTTTTAAAAGGTTTCTACTATGTGTACAAACGTGTATTATGTGTCAATAGAAGTAGCAAAGGAGCAGTGGGTTTTTGTGAGGTTTGGTTAAGACATTTGAGTTGGAGACTCCTGGAATGAGTGAAGTTCCACCAGTCAGAGGGATTTTGGCTGCTCTGTCTCTGTTTATTGCACTCACAGCAGTCCATCAAGTGGAGGAGGACTGGGAATGGAGCTTAAATAGGCTATTTCTAGGGTAGACTGCAAAACATTCTGAAATGTTACAGGAAGAAAAGACAGGAAATTCTTTTGAAAAACACAACTGTTATTGAACAAATAGGAAAAATTTTACAGGCAAAAATCAGTTCTCTCTCAAAATGTCTTTCTCATAAGTGCATTCCTGTTTCCAGAGCCTCAGCCAGAAGAGATGACTGTACTCGAAATATTTATCTTTCTCCAGCTAAGTGCTCTGAAGATTAGGTAGGCCAAAAGGACTTTTACTGCACTGTACCTTCATAAACTCAAGTCACTATATTCAGAAAGCTCATACATTTGTGATTTTAAGTAGTTTGATAACCTGCCAGGAAATAGGGCTGTATGGAATTGGGGCTGTTGTGCCTGACAGCCTGCAGGAATCCAGTCCCTCATTCCATCGCAGGACAGGATATTTGCACTTTATTCAAGGAAGTAAAGAGAAAAGTAATTTGCATTTTGCATTAAAATGGTGTTAAAATGTGAGAGAGCAAGGGACAGTGAGGCTTTTTCACAGCCCCAAACCTGCCAGAGCTCAAGGAGCGGGGTGGGATTGTTGGGGTGTCTGTGCAGGGCCAGGAGTTGGACTAGTGATCCTTGTGGGTCCCTTCCAACTCAGGAGAGTCTATGATCCTATGCTTTCTCAGTTAGAAAAAGATGCATTCTGAACAGGATCCTTGAGCAAATATTCCAGTCTTTGCTATCTTGTGGAACCAGTCTGCCCACACTTGTGATTAGTTCTTGCTTTAAGAGGGAACAGTGGTTTCATTGTTACCATGTACTTGCTGGTTGACGATAAGGGGGAGTTACAGTGGAAATGTAACATCGAACAGCTGGTTTTGTCATAGGGGTCAAAGAAGCATAACTGGAATAGCAGGATACCATTCAGATGGGTGGCCATGAGGGAAGGCAGAGAGAGTCATAGAATCATGGAATATGCTGAGTTGGAAGGGACCCACAAGGATCATCCAATCCAACTCCTGACCCTGCACAGACACCCCAACAATCCCACCCTGTCCCTCAGAGCATTGTCCAAACCCTCCTGGAGCTCTGGCAGCCTTGGGGCTGTGCCCACTGCCCTGGGGAGCCTGGTCAGTGCCAACCACCCTCTGGGGGAAGAACCTTTTGCTGAGATCCAACCTGACCCTGCCCTGGCACAGCTCCAGCCGTTCCCTGGGTGCTGTCACTGGTCACCAGCATCCTTCATTTGTGTCTTTAAACTTATTTGTAATGAAGAAATACCATTTGTTCTCTGCCTTGTGCGACACGTTGTATTGGATCCCTGGCCACTACAACTAACTTAGTTTTAAACTTATGCACAACTTAATGATTTTTCACTGTGGGGTTCAGTCACTTCCACGGGGCCTTGGCAAGATAAGGGAGCAAATGTTTCTGTCAGGAGGCTTCTGTTTGCTCTTGGGATCTGTATTTCCACCAGAAGACAGGGATCAGCAAACTGAAAACAGCTGGAAAATGCCTATTACCTACATGTATGAAAACCCAGTGGGATGCAGGGATTTAGTACCTGGTAGATACTGGCACTACTTTACTGGTAGGATCAGGGCTTGAGACAACAAACTGAGGGAAGTAACTCAGATCCAGTGAAGATCTCTTTAGGGTTTAGCTGAATTTGAGCCACAGAAAACACACACTTTGAATAGTGATGGAGCTGTGCTGAAATCACCCCTGACTGCGGGATGATCTAAAATTTGCTGGGAAACCCCACGTTGCGGAGGGCTGTCCGGTATTGCTGCAATTAATTAGACCTCGCTGTAATGAGTTAACCCTCTGTCTGTAACTCTCTAATTAACCCGCCCGTGGCTCCAGCGCGGGCCCCTCAGAGCGCGGCGCCTCCGCGCCGCCAGGGGGCGCCCTCCCCGCGCCATGTCCGCCCTCCCCGCGGGTGCCGGTGCCCAAGATGGCGGCGCTGGGCCCGTGGCTGTGGCCGGGGGTGACGGGCGCGGCGGCAGCGGCGGCTCTGCTGCTGCTGCCGCTGCTGTGGCGGCGGCGGGCGGGCGGCGCGGGCCGAGTGTGCGTGGCGGTGCTGGGGGACGTGGGCCGCAGCCCGCGGATGCAGTACCACGCGCTGGCGCTGGCCCGGCACGGGCGCGAGGTCTCGCTGCTGGGCTACCTCCGTGAGTGGGGGGCGGCGGGGCCGGGCGGGCCGGGGGGGCCGCGCCGCTGACCGCGCTGTCCCCCCGCAGAGAGCCGGCCGGGGGGCCGCGCCGCTGACCGCGCTGTCCCCCCGCAGAGAGCCGGCCGGGGGGCCGCGCCGCTGACCG